GAGTCACTCGGTGGCCTACAGGGCCCGTGTGAACTCCGATTGGCTTGAAATTTGGCGTGCTTACATATCTTACTAATACACACCTAGTTCCAAAGTCGCTCGGCCAAATTCCACCTACAACCCCAAAAACCCGATACAATAAAATTACACTAGAAAGCTTTAAAGACATGAAAGGAAAGCGAGTGGTGAGGATGGTTTGGACATGCGGTCATGGGTAACACACCGTGGACAAGCATGCCCACAACACGCTGCGCTACGCGTGAACCCATTATCAATTTAGGTAAAAAACCGGCACTGTTGACGTGGCGAACACCGTATTTGTTGGCGTGTTCAAATTAGACAAGGCGAGTAAAATTATGGTTTATTGTTCTATATGCCACAACTGATAAATATAATATTCGAAATTTAAAATTGAATTTCGAATAAATTATTTTTAATTTAGTTTTTTTTAGTACATTAAGTGGGGTAATTTAATTTATTTTGGTACTTTCAATTTTCCTCCATTTAAATTCTATATTTTCAAAATATTTATCTTGGYCTACCTACTCTTAAAAAGTAATTATTTGAGTTCATCAACTTATTTTTAATTTTATTTTTCTATCACAATTTCAACTCAACATTACACTCAATATATTTCTTAAAATATAACAACTTATTAAACTCAATATATTTCTTAAAATATAACAACTTATTAAAGGGTTACCATTACACGTTGAATTTGTGTTAAAATTTTTGTAAATAGAGACTAAAACTGTCACTTTTAAAAAATACAGGTACCAAAACAATATTTTAATAGTAGGTGACTAGAACAAACATGAAAGTATAAGAACCAAAGTGAATATTTTGAAAGTCTAGAAACCGAAATGAACTAGAGCTGAAAATATAGAAACAAAACTAATATTTCAATATAAATTTTATTCATATTTTAATTAACTAAAAATCATCTTTAAGCTAAAGAAGTTGAATTTCAATTAAAACACCAGCCTCAGAATCCCATTCCCATTTGAGAATTACAAAATGGGAATCAAATTTTAAAATTTTTAAAAATAATTTCAACCCTACTATATAATAAAATAAACAAAATTTTAAATACATTAACACTTTTATACTTCCATAAGARTAGCATTTTTTTTTATTTCTTTTAAAAAATATAGCAAGATGGCATGGCTATATCTTATTTTATATTTTGTAATTTTTAAATTTTCATAATTCCAGAAATTATTGCTAAAAGGACATGCCTTTGAAGCTAAGTAACACCATGACCCTCAAGTCTAAGCAAAATAATCCATAATTGTTTATTAGTTTTTTTTTTTTTTAAAAGAAACTAACTTTCTTTTGTTTCATCATCATAATATAGAATATAATATGAAGAGAATTGAAACTACATAAAGGGGGAAAGAAATGATAATTAGCTAAAAGATCCCCGCAAATCATCAAATTTATATAGAAGCCCTCTAGTAGACTATTTTTTAAAATTTCAMCCCTTACATTTTTGCTTTTAACCATTTGGTCCCTCTAAAATTTTTGGGCATCTGCTTGTCTACTCTCCCTCTGCTCTGTCTCCTCCTTTGTTAAAAAAATTGAAGGGAAGCTCTGATTTGTATAGTGAATCCCCCTAATTAAAATATAAACAAATTAATTAAATAATAAAAGGGAAAAAAATTCCTCAAATTCAATTTTCCCCTGTTTTCTCAGCAGAGTTGCAAAAAGTCATTTCATTCTCTATCTCTTTCATAAGAAAATTTTTCTAAGTTCAAACTTCAAATAGAACTCAAGAAGTTCCTTCTATGATGGATGCTTTTATACATGTTATGTTATCTAAGCAAATATCAGGTTTTGTTAACTAAGCAAATAGCCCCTTACCATGGCCAAAACGTCGATTCTTCGACTTCGATCATCTCTTCCCGCTTAACTGCGCCATATGTTTTGCTTCTTCGCTTCGAAGGAGGCTCCGTCGTTGAGCATGTCCTGCGCGTCTGACTCCATTCCTAGTTTTGAGAGGGCAAGAGCCTGCATGTAGAAGGAAGTCGGCCACTCGGGCAAGCATACCTGAGCTTGCATTGCGTCTCTCAATGCGAGTTCTGGTTGACCGACCATCAAGTACGAGAGCGCTCGTCTCACAAAGACAGTACCAGAAGGAACTGACATCATTGATACTAGCTGCATTTTCAAAGATGATCAGAATGTTAATTGTAAAAACGTCGAATATGGAGTTTTGAACCACCCATGATACATTATCTGACCCACGACAAAATATCGGAGTTCTAAAAGTCGAGATAGAAGGAATCACCTTTGAGTAGYACTCTATGGCATTTTTATAGTCCTTGTCTCTGAATGCAATATCCCCAAACTTTTTGGTGTTCAACATGTCTTGTACTTGCTGAGTCCACTCTTGGAATGAAAGCTGCAAATTGAATACAAGCAAGCATTCAGTCCATATAACACTAACATGTTGTTTACAAAACACAATCCTAGTTTTATATTTAGTGTGGGTTTGGGATGCCTTTTCAAATGCTTATGGATGAGTTTAAAAGCGTTTTTTTTTTCAATTTTMGACAATAAAAAATGGTTTGAAAGTTTTAAAAAACGGGTAAAAAGTACCTAAAAGTGCTTTTAGAGGAAGCATTTCACTAATTTTCTCCCAAAAGGTACTCATACTACAAGTGTTTCATTTGAAACGCGCCCATTTCAAATGCCAAACACACCTCGATATATGCATGAATAGAGCATCTTGAACTAGCATAACCCCTATTCCGAGGTGGCCCTAGTGGTAGAACTTAGGATGTTTACAGATACCCTCCCAAATTCCGGAGTCCAAAGCCTCCGAAGCAGCTCGAGCTGGCCTTACGGCCTTATGGTGGGCAAGTGAGTCATGAACATAATGGGGATTTATATCATATTACTAAGAATGACAAACATAAGGCAAAAATGAACACACTTCGCTATCGGCGCCCTCCTCGTCTTTGTAACCAACTTTAAGTAATATGTCGTGTACAGCAGTAAGATCCATTCGAACGCAAGCTTTTCCGAGTGCAGAAAGCATAGTTGGCAACACAACAGGCGTTTTAGTCAGGCCCATTAGTACATGGGATGCAACCTAGGATATCAACAAGAAGAAAAACTTGTGATTGCAAACAAAATAATTTAGGGTAACATGAAATCATTGATAAAGATTTCGGGTTAAGTCAGTGACATTAAAGGTTTACCTCCTGTTTTTGCAGTGCTGCCACTGCTGAAAGAACAGATTTTATATCGGGTCGATCTCTTGCTTCGTATTGGAGACATTTGGAAGCAAGATCAATCAACTGAGTTGCATCATCATCTCCATATTGTCCTTCCAAGGATGAATCCATTAGCAGCAATAAGTTCTTCCCTCTTAGCAAATCCAATGCCTGCAAGTGTAACCGATGTGATCAAGCTAGATAAAGTGGTTTCAAAAATCGCTCTAAAAAACGTATTTCATACACGTTTCAAATGAGATGCTTCTCCTCAAGAAGCAATCGATTAGTAAACGACATCCACTAGAAGAGATGACATACAGTGACAGTTTRCTTTACTCGATGTGATAGATTCAACAAATAAGGGCACATTCAATGATCGAAAAGATTAAATTTATCGTACATGGCTTGGAGGAATGTGCTTCCCACTTAAAAGGTCCAGCAAAATGGTTCCATAACTGTAGATCACACTCTCTGGTATGGCCCTGCCTGAAAGAAACAAAATCAAGCATCTAATTTGCTAAAGAACCACTTGACATGCCTTTCTTTGAACTAAAATCATAATAAAAGTTCATAAGGTCTTTAAGAACTCGACCAGAAGCTCGGTGCTCTAGTGACGTACCCGTCCGTAGAAACTCTGGTGGAGTGTAAGCTAAATTAGTGCTGTAGCTTTTACCATCTCGACTATTCTTTATCAGACCAAAACTAGATAATCGAGGATCCCCATCCTGCCACAAGAAACCGAAGACCAATGATAGAGCAAGTTCGTTGCCAATATAAAATGCTTGGTATTGATGAATCAATAAAAACCATTGCAGACAAAAGTTAGTATTCTAAAAGTAAGAACCTTAAAAACAGTGATGTCTTTGAATGGCGAATGCATACCTCATCGAAGAGAACTCGGTAGGCATTTAGATCATGATATATTTTCCGGTTTTCTGTGCTGCAATGATCAAGGGCTTGTGCTATGTAATATGCAACTCTACCACGCATTTCCCAAGGAAATGGTTGTTTTTCCCCTGCAGTGTAAGAAAAATGAAAATCCCAGCACCAAGACAGCAAAAATCCTTATGTTCGACTGAACGGGCATTCTAAGACGTATCAATGAACAATGTTCTTCATCCCCTCAAAGGAGTTGTGGATGGAATTAACACGCACAAAATGTCAAGTTTCAATATTGCCCTCATGGTAATAAAAATATGCTAAAAAGTCATACAAAATTCATAACTATGGTTATAAAAGATTTCAAATGAAAGTGTATTGTATATATAGTCCTTTAATAACAAAAATTGAGGCCTTCCTCAAATTTGGGGGAGTCAATATCATACAGCATTTCATAGAGGACATGCAGCATACGTGGGTATCTAACTAAGCAAGACAAGAAGCCATTTACAGGGGAGAATTTACAAGAAAGGAAAGTCTCGAATCACGAGCAGGCATAGAGAAGTAAAGGTCAAACATGAAGGTCTAACACAGCCCTTTTCTGCTCTCGTCCTTAGCATTTCACACTAAGCTCTTTAATCCTACCAAACACAAAAGTTCTAGAGAATGCATATAACATACGAAATTACTAAACAATATCGAAATCAGGCATTTCGAGGATTTGACGCACTTGAAAACTGCAGATAATGCAATGGTTATAAAGATCAAAGAAACAAAGTAAAGAGAGAAACAAGTAAAAGACTAAACCACACAGTGAAACAGATGCTTTGAGAGAGTATCATTGGGCATATACTCTGCCACCAACAGCCTCTCATCCCCCTCTGCACAGCATCCAATCAAATTAACCAATCTCTTAAATCTCAGTTTACCAACTCCAGAAGCTTCAGTCTGTTTCAAATACAAAAAATCACATGCAATCAATAAACAAAAACTCATATGGAACCCAGTCCAGAATCACCATCCTCCATTTTCAGTTTACAGTAAACMGATTGATTGTAGAGACATAACTGAGAAATGGGTTCAACGTGCAAAAAGAGATTACCACGAACTGTTGAGGGTCAGGCCATGACTGCTTGGAGAAGCGTTTAATGGCGACCAATCGGTTATTCCGAAGCTTCCCTCTGTAAACCACATTGGGAGCTTTCTCTCCACTCTCAGAAACAATCAGCTCGGAGCTGAAGCCATTAGTGGCAGCTCGAAGCTCCACCAGTTCGAACTCTTTGAACGCCGGAACTTGTCCTTCTTCCAATTCCTCCCCATTAGCTTCAAAACCCCCAAAA